CGGCCTCCAAAGAGCGTGAGAAGGAGCCAAGGAGGCTCGATGACATGATCCAGCTACAAGTGACCCGGGGCGCTCCAAGCGTGTGGCTCTTGGTGGACACAGCCCGTCCCTGCAGCGCCGGGGGCGATGGAGCAGGAGAGCGAGCTGCTTGCACACGTGGCACAGGCCCTTCTGGGTTTGTGTCTTATTCTTCATGCCACTTATCCTCAGGTCACCTCATCAGGAACACCAGTCCTTCCTAAGCATGCAATGACTTTAAAAACACTGATAAAGTTTATCTTCCGTTTTGTAAAATAATCAGTAGATATAATTCTGGTTAATAAGGACGTGGAAGTGTGTTGTTGCTTTCCAGCAATCATTTCTTTAGGCCAAAACAAAAGTTTCTATTTATCTTGAGCAGTGGCTATTTTATTTTGTTTTCTAATGTATTGGTGGGCTCGTTTCCCTGTCACATTTGAAAGTAAATTGTGGGGTTTTGCCCCTCTGCTCAGTACTGAGAGCTGAACCCAGCTTTCTACAAGAACAGAAATCAAACTGGCCATTTTCATAGTCACTTATCCTTTCTACAATACCCTGTAGCTCTTTGTCAGAAGTAGTAAAAAATACTTATTTTTCTTTGTTCTCCAGAATATTTCCAGACAATTCCTTTGGGGTCTGTCCTTGGGCTAGTTCCCAGAGGTGTCACCCTGCTGTACACCCTCCTGAAGATGAGCTGAGAGAATAATTTCCTTCCTGCCAACAAAAAGAGCTTAAAACCAACCAAGGGGCAGGTGTATCACTGTCATCAGGTATGTGCATGTGGGTCATAGCTGCAGAGCAAAGTTGGACTGAGGCTTTGGACCACCTCTGCCTGTCATCCCTGATTTACAGCACGGAGCAGCTCCCTGCAGTGCTGAGCCAGGCACACGGCTGAGACCCCCAAAACAGCAGGTACAGGTGAGCAGCCCCTGCCCCCTGCACTGCCCTGTCCCCTGCTCAGGCTCCCAGACCATTTGTCACGTGCATTTACACAATACTGCTCACCCACACACCCTCAGGACCCTTCCCCCCAAAGCAAAGGTGCTGGAGGATGGAGTTTAACCAGCTGGATGGTGCGTGGCTTGCCTGTGGCACGTGTTGTGATGGAGGCCACACAAAATGGTCCTGCTGGTCCCTTCTGAACTGAACCCTCCCTCATTTCCAGAAGGGAGACATGCGCTTTGCCCTGGCAGGGGGGCAGGGTGCCAGAGTGGGGAGGCCTGGAAGGCTCCCCCGTGGTACACCCAGCTCCTTTCACTGCCATGCACAGGGGCAGCCAGCTCCTACCTGCTCTGCTGTCACCTTTCCTGCCCGTGCCAGGTCCTGGGGAGCCTCCCACGTCCTCCTGCAGCATCTCGGTGCCAGGCGAGCCCTGGGCACACACGACCACATCCCAGCTTATACTGGCATGTCCTGGGAGGTGCAAGCAGGGGCTCCAGCCTCTCCCTCTCAGGAGCTGGTCGCCTACAGCTCACGGGAGAGCTTTGCACCAGGCAGAGGGGACGTTTCTGGGGCTGGTTTCGATTGCTGGCACAAAAGCAGGCGGAGCTGGCTGAGGGTGGCAGAGAGGTTCACACCATGCCTCAGGGACAGGACCCGTTAAACTCGGCCAAATGGGGCAGGAGATGGGTGCCCAGCTGCACCCAGCAGGGGGCTTGGAGCTTTCCTTGGCACTGCTCATCAGGACTGAGGGAGCTTCACAAGCCCGTGGGTTTTAAATGTCTCCAGGGTTAACTGTGCTGGAAAGCGAATTCTCTGACTCACTCCTCCAGACTTGCCTGCCTTTATTTTGCTGAAATCCCACTGAAACCTGCAAACTTTCAGGACCTTGCTCAGCTGTTGGCGAGCAGAGGAGAAGCAGACTGCAAAGTCAGGCGTTTCTGACACTGTCCTGTTGTCCTCCTGTTCCCTGGAGCCCACCAGCAGTGAAAGGGATGCAGCTCAGCTCCCGTGAAACCCCCACGCCCAGGAGAACTGCCTCTTCTATCTGCTGGCGTGAAGCTTTCCCTCTCCACTGCTATTTCACCTCCAGAGCTGCTCTCAGCCCCCAGCTGGGCTCTAAGATCACTTTCTGTTAAAAAGAAATAAAGGAAGGTGAACTATGGGCTACAGAAGCAGGTGTCGGTGCCTCTGCCGAGACTCAAGCCCCCCATCCAGCTCAGCCATGTGCTGCAGGACAGTGCTGCTGAGCACACCATCACCCAGGGAGCTTTTCCCCTCCCTTTGAAGGCCCAGTGCTGCGGGGGATGCTGATCAAAGCTAAAGCAATTCCCTCCTTTGCTGCGCTCCCATTCGTTACTGTTGTGCAAAATGCCCGTGGCTGAGCAGTTAATGGAGGCATCTGCTGCACTGGCAGAGTTCACCGACTTAATTAAAGACATCTAACAATCCTGCAGCTGCATGTGAGAGCTCACGGGTCCTGGCAGGGCTGAGACTGAATATCCTGAGCTCTGAGAGCGGGCGGCCCCACTGTGCACAAAGAGATCTGAGCCAGACACTCCCATGAAAGAAGAAGCAGGGCCCAGAGATGAAGGCTGGGCTGGAGCCAGCTTGCAGTGTGTGTGTCACCAAGGCCTGTACAACCCCAGCTCATGCTCACCTACAGTTGGGCTCAGAAGAAGTTAGCAGAGCCAAGGAGGTTCCTCACCAGTAGGGATGGTTCCACCTGGAAAACATTTTGAACAGGTATTTTCTCACTGAGTGAAAATAATGAGCTGGTTTAAAAAGACAGGTGGGAAAACTAATCTGGTACCAAGTGGTTACCAAGTTCTCCTGTGTGGGGCCATGTTCTCTCCTTATGAAACAAGGAAACATTTCACTCGTGGGCATATTTCTGGTACTGCTGCATATTTGGGCTGTTCGGGGACCTTGCAAGGCTGTTATTTTGACACCAAAAAGCCCCCAGGAGAGGCTGGTGCTTTCAGATTCGACTGCATGCCAGCAGACACCAAGGGCTTTGAGGCAGGCTGCAGAGCACAGGCTGCTGTGTGGTTGCCCTTCAGCACACTTCCACCCTGCCAGGAGCAGGGCAGGAATTCCACAGGCTGGGTGTGGGGGGCCTGGAGCTCCTGGGGCTGCAAACACAACCTCTGAGCAGCGGCACTGTCACCAGGGGCTGCCCCAGATGTCACCCCCACGGATCAATGCCCTGCTGCCTTGGGCTGTACCAGTTCACAGCTGAACCTCTGCTGGGAGAGAGGCTCCTGGTGTGAGCAGCCTCTGCCCTGTGAGCAGCCTCTGCTCGTGGTCATCTCCGTGTGGGGAGAGCAGGAGGGGGATGGGTGCATCAGATGCACCAGCACAGGAGTGCTGCAGGTGAGGAGAGGAGTTTGGGCCACGGGGTGGGAGCTGGTGGGTCTTGATATCCCAAGAGCAGGCTGTCTCCTCCAGAGGAAGGGCATGCCCTCTCCTCCACAGCCCACTCCTGCTGCGAGGGGAATTGCCCTCTCCTGGACACCGTGGCACCAGGCACAGGAGGGATGGTAGCCCAGGCAGTGCTTCGTGTCCAGAGCTGTCCTGTGGGTGACACAACAGCCACCAGCACCAGCCAGGGCTGTTGTGTAACGTGTCAGCAGAGCCTGCTCGGTTGGAGCAGTGCTGTGCCTTCAAGCAGACTCTGGGTTGCCCTCAGCTGTGGCACACGAGTGGTTTGGGGTGACCTGCAGCAGTTTGCTGGCCCTAGAGTTAGCTCCTTCTCTGGTCCTGGAGCAAAATCCCTCCTGGAACCAGGCACTTGGGTTTGCTTGTCACTTCTGAAAGGTTTCCTGCCCTGTTTTGCATCCTCACCCACTGAAGGAGAGGGGTAGATAAAGGGCAAAATAAGACATATTTAAGAAGAAAAAAGCATGCAGCCTTTTCAGATGTACACTCCCCCACAAAGAGGAAAATTACCTAATTCTTCTATGTAGAGAAGCAATGGAGAGAAACCAAAGAACAAGCACATTTTTCTGCTGTCCCATATGATACCATATAATCTGTCATTAGATAATCAAAATGGTTTTATTAGAATAAGAAGCAAAGTTAGACATCCAGAGTCCCTGAGGAGGGAACCCAGACCAACCTATTCCAAGCACTAGAGTGGAAGATGCATTCAGAAGACACAAGAAATGGGAGACCTTGTCCCAAGGCCTCAAGGCTGGCTAGCTCTCCCCCTGCTCTGCTCTCTGCTGGAGATCTGCCAGCTCCCTGCCTGCCTGCAGCACCGCCCCTGCCTGCTCCACTCGTGAGCTGTGCCCTCCTCAGTGTGCCCTCTGCCCCTCTGGAACTCTGCTAGGTGCCAGGCTGTGTTCCAACCTGGGCAATTAGAGCACGCTGACCCCCAAAACCTGGCAGCAGCAGGCAGGCAAGATGGGGGGGTGATGGCAACATCTATCCACACTTAGGAGATGCCAGAAGGTGTTTCTGCTCGGACAAAGCCGGATGGGGGTGATGATAATGGAGGATGGAGTCTGGATGCAGAAGGCCAGTCGTGAGCCAACACCACAGGCCAGGTTAGTCAGGTCCATGTGTCTGTGGCTTTTCTGTCACCTATTAGACTCTCTGCAGCAGGGAGGAGAGAGGGTACCAGCCCTGCCCCCAGCTCCCTGCCCAACCTGCTCTCCCCAGGTCAATTATCTTTACATCCAGACAGACTGGAAGACATGTACAGCTGTGAAGATCTGAAGGTAGGGCAAGATGACACAGACCTCTACACAGCAGTGTTGAAAGAAGGTGGGTGAGCCTGGTGCTGAGAAGGAAGGGTGGGTGATGGCAGTGGTTACCTGCAGCAAGAGGGGGATTGAGATAGATCATAGGCCAGAGTTATTCTCTGCAACGGCCCAGGAAGGTCAGTGACATTGTTTATGGGCCTGTAGCACTTTGGGTTTGATTGGTCAAGACAATTACAGCATCTGTGGCAGGAGCTCAGCCTCCATCAAGTGTGTCCAGTAAACATCAACCAAATCACAGCTTGTTGCTCTGCTGGCTGAGGTAGGACATCCACTCTTTGAGGGGAGGGTTCCCCATAGCTACCAGCTTTTTCAGAAGGGCACTGGGCCGCAGCCCAGGAACATCAGGGTGGGCCTCAGAGTATTTCTGCAGCTTAGCCAGGACGTGAGGGAGCCCAACGGTGGAAGCATAGAACATGGGGCCACCCCTGTGCTTTGGCCACCCGTAGCCATTGATATAAACCACATCCAGGTGTTCTGGGCCCGATGCTATTCCCTCAGCCAGGATGTCAAACCCCTCATTGATGAGGGAGAACAAACACCTCTCCAGGATTTCCTCCTGGTCTATGTAGCGGGTCTTGATGCGATGGGTGTCTCTGTACTGGGACAGAAAGCTGTGAAGCCACGGGTCTGGCCTGGCTGTCCTGCCCCCAGGCTTCTCATACTGGTACCAGCCTTTGCCTGTTTTCTGCCCAAACCTGCCATGCTCACACAGCAGATCAGGCAGCGGGCTGTAGCGGCGGCCCTGCCGCTGGCGGGCGGGCGTTCCTGGAGGCAGGGAGGCTCCAGTGAGGCCCTGGCCCTTTCTGGACCTCCAGCCCACATCCAGCCCAGCGAGATCAGACATTCGGAAAGGTCCTATCTTAAACCCAAAATCCTCAAGAACCTGATCTACTGCTTCTGGTCTGCTTCCCTCCTCTACAAGGAACACTGCCTGCTGTACGTAAGGAAACATCATTCGATTCCCAACGAACCCAAAACAATTCCCTACCACCACTCCAACTTTCTTCAGCGTTTTGGCTAGCTGCATAGCAGTGGCAATGGTGGTGGGGGATGTGTGGTGGCCATAGATGATCTCTAACAGCCTCATCACGTGAGCAGGGGAGAAGAAGTGTGTGCCAATGACCTGCTGCGGGCGGCTCGTGGCAGAAGCTATTTCATCGACGTTCAGAGCTGATGTGTTTGTGCACAGAAAGGCCCCTGGCTTGCAGATGGCTGAGAGCTTGTGGAATATTTCCTTCTTCAGTGGCATGTTCTCAAACACAGCCTCAATTACTAGATCTACATCACGTAACACATCAAAGTCCAGGGTGAACTGGAGACGTGCAGGGTTATGGAAATCCAGGGTTTGGGCACCCTGCCCCATTTTCATAGCCTCACGTTCCAAAAGGAGCATCACAGCTTTTCTTCCTGTGTTCAGACACTCCAGATCCTGCTCCAGGGCTACCACGGGGATGTTGGCCTTCACCAGAGAAGTCACAATGCCTCGGCCCATTGTTCCCAGCCCTAGGGACAAAAGTGAGACAGAGTCAGAGACTCTGAACAGAAAAGGTTAAAATTATTCTCAGTAGCATTTCCATGTAAATGGGATAAAAAGTGGAAGCCTTTGTAAAATGAGTAGTGCACAGACAGAAAACAGTAATTGCAGGCTGGGAAAAAGGAAGGTGAATGCTCTCTTTCAGTGAGCCTAAATGTTTGAAAAGCAGTGGCATAAAGGCAAGTTAATGTCCTCTCAAGCTTACAAAACACCAGTGAGATTCCCTCCAGTGTGTGCAGACCATGGGATTCACGTCTGCTCCCTGCAAAGTTTTATACCTCTGGAAACCAGCCTCACTTAATAATACTGGCTTGATCCTTTCCTTCCTTCTGAGCCCTTCCATCAGCTCTGCCCTCCATTACATCCAGAGATGTAATTTACACTTACACTCTCCTGTGACTGACAACCCACGTTATCTATCCAGCTCCCCCACGAAGCTTTTTGGACTAAGCTAATACAAACTGGTAAAAGAAGACCAGCACAATTTTACCAGCTTTAAAAGTGCAAAGCATCTGAATGGGAGGATTATTAATATCCTAAATAAAGCAACAACCAGGCTAAGCACAGGTTTGTTATAATTCTGTAAGAAGCAATTTTTTTTAATCCCAGGTTTACAAATGAACATCAGATAAACGAATCAACAGAAACAAGGGGATTAAAAAAATTTGCCTAAAGCAGCTTTGTAAAGAAGAGCTGAAATGATGTCATCATTTAAACAAGTTCCAACAACCAAGGTCAGACAAGGTAGTATGTTTCTCCTACAAGCTACACACCCTTGGTGTAGTTCTGTCCACCCTCAGCTAGTGGACCCACAAGACATTTAAAACCTTCCCTGTTTAGCCCCAGGAAAATAGTTTTTACAACCATCACTATCTGGCAGCCTGCTTAATAAAACATTGCACTCCCAAGGAAATGCTGAAGTTCCTTTCTAGGAAATTAGATTTGTTACTTCATAATCAAGTGCTACTAAAACCAAATGTGAAAATAAAACTAGAATAACATGAATCAGTTCTTAGGATTTCAGTGTCTGTGGTTTGCTGACTGAAAAAGCCCAAACCCAAACAGCTCCTCACGCTGTGCTGGGGACTCAGAGCCTTGCACGGGGTAGCAGGTACAGCCAGAGACAGCTTTCTCCCTCTCTTTGGTCAGCTACAAGAACTGCTTTTTTCCACCCAAAAAACCTGCTTTTTTTGGAAGTCTTTTCCTTTCCAGGGTGAAGACCTGGGGCTTCTGTTTCTCCCTAGAATTTCCATGCCCTGCTGAAGAAATAATGCAGACATCCTGGGCCTTGTTAACTCCTGTTCCTCTCAGCTTCAGCCTCCTGACTGAAACCTCAGCACTTCTCCTGCAGTATGAACACCCTGCTTCTTCCTAAATCAAAACCTCTTCCAGGAGCAGAGATTCTCCAGCCTCTTTTTCCATGGAAGTTCTGCAGTGGTGTTAGCTGATTCCCATTTGCTTTCATCCCCAGTAGTATGAGTGCTCCTGTGGAGGTTTTAGCCATCCCATGATAGACAGGCATACATGCTTGTGGTCCTTCACTTTCTAGGTGACAGTAATAGGCTTATAGATAAGATATGAGCTTGCCAAGCTTGTTTCTGACCTAGAAAAGCTGTCTCTCAACTTACTACATAACTCTACAGTGAAATGATGTTTAATGAAGCTGGCAGAGAGAGTAATGAAAGCCCCAAGGGTTTTGTTACATTAAAGCTTGCACAACATGAATCCCCTGGAAATATTTTCTAAAACTGGGCTGTAAAACTAAGACAGATTTGCCTATCTAGCAGAGAAAGAAGCATTTCTGAGGACTCTCTTTTTAAAGGCGAGTGATTTTGGGGAAGAATATATTAGAGTAGAAAAAAAATGGTAGAGAATCATTGGGCCTTACATGTGTAGAAGGCTGTAAAAGAAAGAGAAATGTTGCATTTCAGAACACACAGACCAAAACACAGCTAGGAACCACTCCACCATTTCTACTGTACGTTCCATTTTCTTCCTCAGTAGTGCTCTAACTTCTCCCAAATCAGGGAAAAAAACCCTTTATTCTTATCTTCCATACAGGGGATGGTTTTCAGAGCTGTGTTGCCATCTTTCATGCCCAAGGCACATCTTTCAAAGGAAGACTGAAATCAGCTTCAGGAAAGAGAAGAGTGTCTAACCATCTTGCTGCTGGGCTTGTGTTGTGAACCATAGCTTTGACAGATAAATAAAACTACCCTTGAACCCATGTAATTTCAGGCCAAATAGGGATATGACAAATCCATTTGCTGGGCAAGCTGAGTGAATAATGACTGTTAATTATTGATCTGCGACACGAGGTACTTAGAATGTGAAAAATCATGCAAAATTAATGGAAGGATTTTAAAAACAAATTTCAAAACCAAACGAAGTCAAAATACGTACAGAGCAATTAACGTACAGTCACACACACACTGGAGAAATACACATCAGTGGAAAGTACTCTGAACTGTGATGAATATTTGCCCTTTAAAATGCCAGGCAATGGAAATAATACTTTATAGATTGGTAAAAATATGCAAAGGCTGTTCCAGTTTTCCTGTTAAAAACAACAATGAGCAATCGGCGGTGGCGGACGGCTGCAAACTGGAGCTGCTTCTTTCTCTCTTTCAGGGTATTCATTTCAAGCAGAAAAAATGTGATGCTGAAGGCAAGCAGGGAAGACTGCAGAAGGGACAGAGAACTCTGAGGAAGCAGAGAAAGTGGAAAGAGACAGGAGTCCAAGCTCAGAAGAAGCAGAAGCAAATGAAGTAGGTGACACTGCCCGTGGATGAAACAGCCAAGGACAGCTAGGCCAAGGGCAGGAGGGTTCCCACATAGCTGGGTGTCACCCACTTGTCAGTCTTTCACTGAGCCAACTGCAGACAAAGGCAGCTGGTGGGAAGCCAGCACTGCACAGGAATAGCTGCCAGTTCCTCAGCAATGCTATCTATCCAGCATGCCCACAAAAATGAGAGATCATCCTTGATGTTGAATCTCCATTCAGACACGGTCAGCAAGTGATGTGCCAGCTCCCTCCAAGTTCCTGCTAATCCTGGATGGACAGAGGAGCCACAAAACAAGGTTCCCCCACCATTCATGGCACTACTTCCATACCCTAAGGGTCCTCTGTGCCTACAGGGAAGGTACTGAAGGAGGAGGAAGTCAGTGTGAGCTTCTCAGTTGCTTCCTGTTGTGCAGCAATAAAAGAAGCAGCAGCATAATGCAACATAGTTCTGGTGTGTGCACCAGCACAGCCTGTTGGAAAGTGGGGTCTGCACAATTTCTGACCACCCAAAAAGGAGGCAACATCTTGCCCTGACTGCCCTTCTCTCTGCAGTGAAACAGAGAGGAGACTCTGGATTACCTAAGGCTGAGCAGCACTATTTAAAACATGTCAGTCCCTCAAAAATAATCTCTGAGATTATGATTTCTTGTGCTGCAAGAATCTACCTAAGATCAGGAATGTGGAATTATGAGCTATTGTACAGCATGGCACTGTCTGGAGAATGACTCTTTGTTACAGTAGCCTGAAAGACAAAATATGATTGTGTTGGCATGCTCTATGCCTGTCCTAATGGACTTGTAATTTCACTGGTATCAAAAGGCAGGATAGGAGGAAAACCTTTCAGAGGAGGGAGAAAATGCACAGTGCAGCTGCAGAAAGGAGTGATGGAAAGCAGTGACACTTAATATGGTGTGGGATTCAGAGTTAAAAGGAGGAGATCAATAACCTCCAGAAGAGAAGTCACTTATCAGATGAAGTGTAACCTGCACAGCCAGCCTGAGCAAAGCAAGCTGCAACTCTGCTGCACAGGCAGAAGCAACGACTCAGAAAAGGCTTTAGGAGTCTTGGGAAGTGAGGACACTGATGAGCTTTAGTGACCCTGACCAGCTACACCTGGAGCCTCCACCCACACACTTCCCATTGGCCTTGGAGCCCCATTTAAGCTCAGACTTAGGCCTTCAGGGCTTTCCTAAGCTGTGTTGGGGGAATGCTGGTGTCTCACTGTGGCTATGGACACTGTTGATCCAGACCTCAGCCTGCAGACTGGCCTCCCAAATTTACCTCAGACCTGCACCTTCAGGTGAGCTTTGCTTGATCATCTGTGCTCCTAGCAGACCCTGGCCATGATCTCTGGGTCTGCCCTCCTGCCTTGCTCAGGTACTGTAAATAATTGGTCCAGTAGTGGGTTGTGCTGCCATCCAGAGGGAGAAATGGGTTGACAGGAGCTCCATGAAGTTAAACAAGGGGAAGTGCAAAGTCCTGCAGCTGAGGAAGCACAGTCCTATGCACCAGTATATGCTGGGGGCTGCCTGGCTGGAAGGCAGCTCTGCAGAAAAGGATCTGAGGGTCTTGGTGGACACCAAGTTGACTGTAAGCAGCAACAGGAGCTTGTGGCAAAGCAGGCTAAGGGTATGCTGGGCTGCATTAGGAGGAATCTTGCTGGCAGGTTGAGGGAAGTGCCCCTCCTCCTCTGCTTAGCACTGATGAGACTATTATCTGAACTACTGTGTCCAGTCCTGGGCTCCCCAGTGATGTGGATTTATTGGTGTGACTCTAGTGAAGGGCCACTAAGGTGATTAAGGGACTGGGGCATGTCTCATGGGGAAAGGCTGAGGGAGCTGTGACTCCAGCCTAGCCTTGGGGGGGAATCTCTGAGAGCCAGACTCTCAGGATTCTGTGGTTTTGGCCCCTGGGAGGTGTTACTGCCATTGGCTCCCCACCCCTGGGGTGCAGCTGCTCCCTGCCAGTATTCATATACCAGAATGCAGAAACCTGCCTGGAGATGAGGTGCAAATCCTTAATCCAATGGATGGGAGACATAGCCCAGGCAGTTCAGTTTGGAAACATGATACAGATTAGGGTTCTACTAAAAATTTTGATACAGAGATTACATTTGTCCTCAGAATTCCCTCTAGCTCAGTTACAGTGCCAAAATAAGCAGACCTAAACAGCCCTTCTGGCTAAACTGTGGTTGCAGCTGGGGCTTTGCAAAGGTATTATTCTGGCACAATCTATCAGTATGTAGCCAAAAATTCCTGTGCTGGTCAGCTGGTCATTCCTCCAAAGCTTCAACACAAGCTCTTCCTGCCTAAGGCCATGTTGTGGGACTGACCTGTCTGGGTTTGCATGTGTCCAAAATGGTGTTCTTAAAGTCATGTGATAAATTTGGCAGTAACCCAGGCCCCTTTACCTGAATGCTGTAACAGCCAATGTTCAAAAACCATTTTCACTATAAATATGGCATGGCAACTAATGGAGAGAAGGGAACTTTTTAAAGTGTTTCTGTGGTCTGAAATGAGCTTTTAGAGAGCTCAAATTGCAGAGCAGAAGAGGTCTGAGAAGTACCCAGGAAAGAGCAGTGCTGATCTGGTGAGGTTTTTCTGAAACAGAATGGATGTTTTCCAAGTGCTCCATTACTTGTCTAACCATTTCTTGAGTGCTACTATCAACAGAGTGAGCTGAGAGATACTTTTTAAAAAAAAAAATCTCAGCAGTGCATCAAATGTTTTATTTAAATTGCTCTCATAAAAAATTAATGAAGGCATTATCTTGCTGGGCTACAAAATGGCAGGAGTGGATCCCAGTGAGATGAAATCTTCTTAAAATACAGCTGTCAAAACATTTTTGTATTAATATATCCCTGAGTGACTCTGTGCACATGCACTTGCAGTACAGCACTAGGCCAGGAGGAGGAGAATTTAATGCAAACCTGCTTCTAACATGGAACCAAGCCAGGATTCAACCCAAACTCAGTATTTAAAAGGGAATAGGGTGCTTATGGTCCAGAGGTGAAGTGTCTCTGAAGTGAGTGGAAGCTATTCTTCCAAAGAAAGAGGTGGCATAAAGTAACCATCTATTGGGATGGGAGCTTTCTTCTGAATTTGAGCTTACCCATGCAGTGACAGCTTCCCTCCTTGCATGCACCTAGGTGTGTGGAGTGTCTCTGTCTGTGATGGGTGCCAGGGACACCCACCTCAGCCTTCTGCCAGGACTAAAGCCTCATTATCCTCATCCCACTCCCTTTCAGCTCTGCTGCTAGCTGCACGGGCAGCACCCACAGCAGCTTTTCCATTCCCTTACCTATCACAGCTGCCTTGTGGATGGGCTGTGGGGAAGCACTCTTCCAGGAGGCTCCACTGGGTGTCGTCCACCTCTGCACTGCTCTCTCTGCAAAGAAGGCATACTGCAGGGCCTGGGCCTGCCCCGAGCTCAGCAGCACCTGGAACAGCTCCCGTTCCCTCCGGACTCCATCCTCAAAGGGCTGCTCCGCGGCAGCCCTGACTGCCTGGAAGCACAGCTCTGGAGCCAGGCAGCCCCGGGCCTGCCTCTTCACCTTCACAAGAGCCTCGCTGAGGAACGCTTCCACGTTGGGCAGTTTTGGAACTGCCTTCAGGCTGAGCCTCCGGGGTCCCAGGGGTTGGCCTGGGGGGCAGAAAGATGGAGTTAGAGAACAAAGCATCCACAGCTGGAGTTTCCTGCAGATTTCACTCCTTTCTACATAGGCTAGGTGTGCAGCTACCTCCCTTCCTCCTAAGCTCACTGCATTAGGGCTTGCATGGCACAGTGATCTGGGTTTAGAACTGAGGTTTCTCTTTAGATTTCTGTTTGCTCTGACAATTGCAGTTTTCCAAGTCCTTTCTTAGGCTGCAAAACAAGATTTCAATTTCAAAGAAGTAATTCTTTATTTTCTCAGCTACACAGAATGCCTTGACTTCTCCAGTTCCCTTACTCCACAGCCTCAGCTGCCACATTCATATGGCTCCTTCTATAAGCTTCAGGACTGAAGTTTTTCTCCAGTATGGTTTAATACTCAATGCCCAATTGACTTTGCTACCCAGGTGCCTTTAGCCAGGGTTCTGACCCTTTGAGAGAGGCTGGGAAATGGACCCTGACTTCAATCCTCCCCTGACAGCAGGAGTCCCTCTGTTCACTTTGGGCCTACCCAAGAGGATGGCTCACCCAGCATGAGCTGGGGAGCAAATGAATAATGAGGGAAAGTTCATGCTTCTGTGTCAGCAAGGGGCCAGTCAAGCAGCCACACAAATACATGAGGCTCATTACAGACAGGGGTTGCTATGGTGATACCTAGAAAGGACTTTAATTGAGTGAAGTTAGTCACATTTCAGATGCCAGAATCCTCCCCATCCCCTTCAGAAGGACAGACCTTGGTGCCTGCTACCAGATCTCTGATCTGCCCATACTCAGGCTGTTCCTATACTCTGAGTGGCAGCTTCCCTCAGTAAAGAGGAACAAGCTCAGAAATTCAGGATGTATCCTCCTAATCATCCAGCATTTTCCCAACCACCCTTTTGTCACCATAGCCCTGTCCAGGCTGGGAACTGTGCAGCTGTGATACTCCCAGAAGCAGCCAGGACTGCTACCAAAGCAGGAGGGTGGGTGGCCCCCCTCTAATGAGAAGGTTACACTGAGAAGCTCTCTGGCATCCAGTCTCATTGCCCTAGCTTTTCTTGCAGGAGCTCTGCCACAGGAGCACCCTTCCTTCAGAGGCAGCATATTGCATCCAGCTCCCCTTTTTCTCCCTGTTGTCTGAGTTAGGGAAGTGCTGGTGCATCAGCAGAAGACTGAGGAGCAGGAAAACATACACAGGAGCTGAAGAGAGGAATAATGGCAGTGCTGCAATCATGGTTTCTCAGAAAACATGTCTGGACTCTAGTTCTTCCTCTAAGACCAAGCAATGTTGAAGAGAAACAAAAGTTTCCAGGACAAGTGAAGAAGTCATTTCCTGAAATAATGGCCTTCAGAACTCAAGCCTTTTAATTAATCCTTTTAGAGAACACAAAAATGAACAGTCACTGTGTAAGGAGCTTCCCTTGTAATCAGTGTCCATAAAAAGAATGTTTTCACATTGACAGTGACTATAGTTTGTATCTCTCACTATTGCAGGACTTAGGATAATGCTCCTTTATTTTTGAATCCTTTTTTCTTTCTTCCCCTTAATGTATGTCTTTAATGCAGAAATGTTCTTTATCCACAGTGCTTTATTTAGGACTTAAACAGAGGGTTTCATTTCATCACAAGAGGAAACCTCAGGTTTGTTCCAGCAAGCAGATCTGATGGCTGCAATGCAACTTAAGACTGGGCAGATCAGGGGACTTCATATTACATCTGATGTGGAAAGAAATGACTGGTCATAAGGAATACCACTGGGAGCCTTTAAGCTTGGTCTCCAGATAGCAAATAGTACTTGTAAGCACAAATACTGATGGGGCTAAAAAAGAAATTAACTCTCCTCAGGGTCCTGTAATAGAACCCTTACTTAGCTGTAAGCTAAATGAGTTTTGTGAAGTGTTTCTAGAGCCTCTCCATGCAGCATCTTTGCTTCTGCAGTGCTAATAGGAATTGAGGGCATGTTCATGAACAGGAAAAAATGACCTGAATCCAAACCTGGGAAGAAGAGATCAGTGTGGGGCACTTGTGGCTTGATTTTTTGCAATCAAAGCAGCAGGAACATGATGACCAGTGTCAGACATGTGTGCTGCAGGGAGAAGCATCATTCATGCCCAGGAGCTAGCACAGGTACCTGCTTTGCTTTACTGGGGTTTGTAGTCCAGGTGGCACAAAGGACAGATAAAGTCTATAGAATTTGTATCAGCAAAAGCAACATCTAAGCATGTAGCATCAAATGTTGTGCTACTTAAAGGAAAAAAAAATCATCCCAGAGTTATAAACCTTCAGGATATTCCAGGAATTTCTGAGAACCTGGCACCTGCTGGAGGTCTCAGGCCTGCCAGAGACACACCAGTTAATGTCAGACCTTTCACAAGCTCTGCCTGTGTCAAAGGGGCACTTTGCTGGACCTCCCACCTCAAGAAGGCAGCAACCAGAATCGTGAGCCCTGGAGAGAGATTAAAATGTGTTTGTGTTGTACATCTGCCCAGAGATGATGCATTAAAGGCCCTTGCAACTGTAACTGAAAGCTCTCTCCAGCAGTCCCCATTTAAAGCAGGCAATTATCTCAGAGCAGTCTCTGTTACTCCTTTGGGTTTTATGAGACCCAGAAGAAACACGTGGTTCCTCCACAGTGACTCCTGTTGGCTTACAGTCAGAAACTCATAATCCTCTCTCCACACAGGGTTTAATACCTGCAAGGCTTGAGCCAATCTAAATCAAACTGATTTTCCTGGGCTCTCTGGTGCAAGCCATTGATCCTCCTGTGCTCTGAGAAGATAAAGGTCAATCAGCAGATGTGATTGGAAAGCAAGGGCTGGTTCTAGGTGAAGAGAGCTTCCCAGAGGTGTGCTGTGCAGAGGATCAGCACCCATTTTTGCCCCCAGCTGCAGAGGACTCCAGCAGGCCAGCAAGGGGTGGGCCTGCCACAAGCACTCCCAGCAGTTTTTCCAATTTTGTGTTGCCATCAGGTGGCCAAATTCTGCCATGCAGCTTTGAATTAGTGCAGTGATTATCAAGTACAGTTCATGAAAGAACATTCTCCTTGTCTCTGAGGATTTAGCTCCTGTCTATTCCTTCTAAAAAATGCCTTCAGAAGTGGAGATACTTTATTTTGCCTGAAGAAGGCCAGGAATGTATTCTTGCTTCCTATCTGCAATATACAATAACTGCTTTTCAATGAAAAAATTAACTTAGGAATACATGGAGGCAGTTTCTGATTCTACAGCCACCTAGGACTGTTTCAGAACTCCTCTTGAAGTCGTTCTTCATTAGGAATAATCCATAAAAATATCTGGGTGAAGGTGCTTTCTCAACAGTGGAAAGCTGCTTGTGCAACTGTCTGTGGTTTTATTAACATCATCTGAAAAAATGTTCACTGAAAATAGAACTCAGTGTGAACAAAAAAAACCCCCAGACCATCTCTGCAAGCCTGTCATCTTTTCTGCAGCCCTGAGTCAGTGCTTGATACAAAGAAATAAAAGCACTAGTTTGCATCTGTATGGCAGGAGGATTATGTTAACTTTAGGCAAAGGCTGAAGACAGGAATGACTCAAAAGGAACATATAGTTTCTTGGCACATCATTCTGGCAAATTATTGCCTAACCTGAGGCTAAATGGTGCATCAAAACTTTCCATGGTCTTCTGCAAGGTTTAATGAGAGGTTTTCCAAGCAGGAAATAAAGATTAGTCACCTTGTCAATATTTTCACTGTTCAAGTGCATACTGCAAATGCCAGTAAAGCTGCTGGAAAGAGGCTGAAAGGATTTTTAAAGTCCTGTTGGTGTATGGTGTGATGTGAAACACCTTCAGTGGCATTACTCATTTTTTACTGGGGTAACTCAAATTAGCAGTGAACAGATAAACTACCACCAATAATGAATATGATTCTATGCATAGGACTGGGACAGGTTACCTGCTGATCAACCAGCTAGGATCCTTGTAGGCTTATACAAGTCAATTCTCAAAAGAATTTTCCACAGAAGATGAAGTTACAGAGGAGGAATTTGCCAGTAGTGGACATAAATTCAAGAAAGCAAGTTCCCCTGAGGAACAGAGTGTTCAATTATTCATTCCTGAGGTTCTCCTCCAAGGGCAGACTGACTTTCACAATTCTCAACCACTACACAATGTCTGTCACAGCAGAGATAAGCACACAAATACCTAAATTTCACCCAATTTCACCTAACGTTGGTTGAAATCTGGAATTCTTGCTGGTTTGTCACTTCTAGCAATGGATCTATTACCCATTTTATGATACACTTCTGCTGTCATCAGTACTGGTATAGATGGCAGGGCATTGTTCAGAAGCCCAGAGGGTACATCAGAGGAAACACTGGTGGGATAATTTGCCTAGGAGAGTAGTAATATTTCACTGCTCTCCCAACAGATGGAGAAACAGAGCTCTCCTTCAAAACAGACAAAATAAGTGAACCAAAGTATCTTTGTTTTGCTGAGAAGCAATGGTGAAGTGCATCACCCATCATTCCTAAAGAATTGTATTTCAATAGCCTGGTTA